GAGCAGCTTCCTTCCCCTGCATTCCCAGAGGAGCAGCTTCCTTCCCCTGCATTCCCAGAGGAGCAGCTTCCTTCCCCCTGCATTCCCAGAGGAGCCCAGGCCCATCTCCCCCAGCCCTGGAGCTCCAAGGAAAACTCCCCCCTTGTGCAGATCCTGCTCCAGCAGAAGCACAGCTGGCACTGCAGGAGGGCTGAGCCCCCCTGGGATGGGGCTGAGCCACTCCCTGACCCACAGGGGACAGGGCTGCTCTGACCCTGCCAGGGTTGGTTTTGTCTGTTTGTACTATTGCATTTGCACTTTTAATTTTCCTAATAAATGTTATTCGTGCTCCCCTATCTTTGCCAGAGAGCTGTTTAATTTCAAAATTATAATAATTCGGAGGGAGGGGGTCTCCATTTTCCATTTCAGGGGAGGTTCCTGCCTTCCTCAGCAGACATCTGTCTTTTCAAACCATGGCACTAAGCCAGAAATTCTCTGGATTTCCAGCTGGATCAAACATCTCCCTCTTCCCAGACATTTCCCACTTACCAGACTTCAGGTCAGTGCTTCACCCTCCCTAGGAGCAGATTTCCAGCCCTATCTGCAGAGTATGGATCACATCTCTCCGACATTCCAATCCCATAAAGAATGGATGCAAACATCTCATCCTCATCTCCCAAATTCCCTCCACTTCCCTCGCCGTGGCTGCAGCTCCCCTAGGACAGAGGGACCCTCACCTTGAGGAAAACCGTCTTCACTTTGGCGCAGTCCTTGCCCATCTCCTCGTCCACGATGGAGTAGAGGATGTCCTTGGAGGGGATGCGGGCGTAGGCGACGCGCTTGTTGTTGCTCATCATCCAGATGAAAACGTCGGGAATCGTGTGCTGGGGCTGGGAACGCCACAGGAGAGCCCGCTCAGTGCCCCAGCTCCGACCCCTGAGGCACTGCTGGGGCTGGAGACCTGCTGCAGGCAAATCCAACAGATTCCACGGAAGGTGGGTGTGCCTGTGGCCACACTGCGGACACTGGAATCTCTCGGGGGTCTGGAGGTCGAGAGGACCCCGAGATTGTAAAAAGTCTTTTTCTCCCAGCCCGCGTGGCCAAAGAAGAAGTGGGAATGCGCAGGGTCGGCTTCTCAAGGTCGTTTATTTTCTCTTATCTCTAACATGTTTCCCCAAGGAGCCGCGCTCTGTCCAGCAGGTCAGGCTGACACAGACTCCCACCCACCACCTTGGGGTGGTGTCACCATTTTATACTAAAAATTACCCGTACTATGTTTACAATAACGTGCCAATATCTATCATTTATGTTGGATATTCTCCTACCTTAAACCAACAGAAAAGTGTCACCATCCCACCAAGACATGGAGGGCAAGAAGAAGGAGAAGAAGGGCAGGACATGCCCAAACCCCTCCATCTTGTCCCCTGTAACACCTTATTTTAAAACCCCAAAATTCCACTTTTTCACACTGTGTTAACTCCCACACCACTCAAACCCTTGTGGCTTGTAATTCCTCACACAAAATTGACAGTTTTCCATAGGCTAAAATTGAAGCTACAGGTATTTTTGACTTCGTGCCAAGCTCCCCGAGCCCCCTGCCAGGGTCTCAGACAGCCAGAGGGGTGCCCTGGGTTCCCAAAGGAAACATTTGGAGATTCCCACTTCAAAAAAGCTGCTCGGAGCAAAGCCCATGAGGAAGAAAACCAGGATTTATTGTTGCAGTGAGGTGAAAAAATTATAAAAGAAAAGCCTCATAAAATCAGGCCTGCTCTGTTAGATCCGTGGCTGGCCTTGTCACGCTAGCACTTCCAAGTTCCCATGTGAAAACAATCCTGGTGTGAAGAGTTCGTTAACATAACGATCAACTCCTGGGTGAAAAACAACTGGCACCTGCATAAACACTAAATCTATCCCAGGAGAATCAGCGAAGAAAATATGTAAATTATTTAAGAATTGTTAGTAAACAAGTAAAACAAGTAAAATGCCTTTTACTAGCCAATAAACTAATTGGCAGGAAAGCGAGTAGCCAATTGGAGTCACAGACGAGATCTGTAAAACTGTGTAAAAATTAGTTTTGTTAATAAAAAATTGTTTTTTTCTTGTGTGAAGATAATGGAGTGTGATTTATTCCGATAATTTATGTTGGTTATAAATTTAGAAAGATATAAATTTGGGCATTTCTCTCCTCCCTCAGCAGCCCTGGGGAGGGGAGAGCAGCGGCCGTTCCTCATCCCTTCCTAGGGAAGAGGTTCCCAGCATGGACAGGCCCATCACTCCTCAGATCTGGGTTGGGTCAGGTCCAAGGAGGGCCTGGCTGTAACCAAGGATGGGGCTGGGACAAGAACCCGCTCCGAGCCAGTCCTAAATGGGAAAAATATCATGGAAAGGGTCTGGAGACCAAAGGGGCTCCAGGAGAGCTGCAGAGGGACTGGGGACAAGGATGGAGGGACAGGAGCCAGGGAATGGCTCCCAGTGCCAGAGGGCAGGGCTGGGTGGGAGATTGGGAATTGGGAATTGTTCCCTGGCTGGGATGGAATTCCCAGAGCAGCTGTGGCTGCCCCTGGATCCCTGGCAGTGCCCAAGGACAGGTTGGACATTGGGGTTTGGAGCAGCCTGGGACAGTGGGAAGTGCTGGGGTTGGAACTGGATGGGATTTCAAATCCCTTCCCACCCAAACCAGTCTGGGATTTGGTGTGTCACCTTCCAATTCCTGATTTTCCTAGGGATTCACAGGGTCCCTCCAGGCTGGGATTGGCTGAAACATGTCCAGCTCTGCTGCAGGAGGACCCAGCTCTGTCCCTGCCTGGGAAACCCTTAAATTTCCTTTATATCGGCTGATTTCCACCCAGGAATGGACAGGGATCATGGGGCAGCTCATGGACTTGGAATGGCTCCTTGCAGAGGGACCTCTCCTGGCCTTGGAGGTCTCTATCCATCCATCCATACATCCATCCATCCACCCATGGATCCATCCATCCATCCACCCATGGATCCATCCATCATTCATCCATGTCATCCTCCATGTCATCCATCCATCCATCCATCCATCCATCATCCATCCATCATCCATCATCCATCCATCATCCATCCATCCATCATCCATCCATCCATCATCCATCCATCATCCATCCATCATCCATCCATCATCCATCCATCCATCCATCCATCCATCATCCATCATCCATCCATCATGCATCCATCATCCATCCATCCATCCATCATCCATCCATCATCCATCCATCCCTGGATCCATCCCAGGTTTCTGTCTCCGTGAACTGTCCCAGCCAGAGCCACCTCTGCCCGTGAGGAACTCACCTCATCCGCCAGGAACCGCAGCTTCTGCAGGAAGTTCTGCACCAGCTTCAGCTTGTCCTTCATGGTGTTCCTCTTCACCTGGGAGCGCAGGGCCGTGGCCTGCTGGGCCATGTTCTCCTGCGGGGACAGCCGGGTCATCAGGACACAGCTCGGACCGAGGAAAGGCGCCTCAATCCCACCACATCAGCATGGACACCTTTTGTTCACCTTGGCAACGAAGAGAGGGCAGAGACAGCCCGGGAGGAGGTGACACCACAAAGGTGTCACCTGAGCTTGCAGAATTTTGGGGTGGCTTAAGGAAGGTGCCTGTCCTGCTGGCACCCAGCACCTGGCCCTTGGAGCTTCCCAGAAGAACATCTGGAATTTCACAATTCCTGCCTCTCGAGGATGCAGCTGGCCATGGAAGTTGGTGACTTTGGCTGCGTGAGAAGCCATGAGCTCCTCGTCCATCTCTCCTGCACATTCTTGGCACGGAGCAGGGCCACCATCCCCAAAACTCTGTCCCTGGGGTAGCTCTGCCCCATAGGATCCCCAAAATCACCCCAGACATCTGACCTTGGAGCAGCTCTGCTCTGAAAGTCCCAAAATCACCCCAAACCTCTGTCCCTGGAGCAGCTCTGCTCTGAAAATCCCAAAATCACCCCAAACCTCAGTTCCTGGAGCAGCTCTGCTCTGAAAGTCCCAAAATCACCCCAAACCTCAGTTCCTGGAGCAGCTCTGCTCTGAAAGTCCCCAAATCACCCCAAACCTCAGTTCCTGGAGCAGCTCTGCTCTGAAAGTCCCAAAATCACCCCAAACCTCTGTCCCTGGAGCAACTCTGCTCTGAAAGTCCCAAAATCACCCCAAACCTCAGTTCCTGGAGCAGCTCTGCTCTGAAAGTCCCAAAATCACCCCAAACATCTGTCCCTGGAGCAGCTCTGCTCTGAAAGTCCCAAAATCACCCCAAACCTCAGTTCCTGGAGCAGCTCGGCTCTGAAGTTCCCAAAATCACCCCCAAACCTCTGTCCCTGGAGCAGCTCTGCTCTGAAGTTCCCAAAATCACCCCAAACATCTGTCCTTGGAGCAGCTCTGCTCTGAAGTTCCCAAAATCACCCCAAACCTCTGTCCCTGGAGCAGCTCTCAGGTCTGAAGTTCCCAAAATTCCCTTTCCAGCTCCTCTGTGCTCCCAAATTTCTTTCTAGATTCTGATGGAGAGCTCCAGCAGGGGTCCAGGTGACACCTGGGACTTGGCTGAGACCCGAGTGGCCTTTGGGGCCAGAATTAAACCCCAAATCCTCGACCCGCAGGGACTGGAGACCAACATATCCATGGACCAAATTCCATCCCCTGCTCAGGAATCCTCCGCTCTACCCAAAGCTTCCCTGAACAACCTTTGCCAGGGCCTGTCCACTCTGCCAGGGAGCAATTCCTAATTCCCAAAATCCCACCCAGCCCTGCCCTCTGGCACTGGGAGCCATTCCCTGGGTCCTGCCAGGGAACAATTCCCAATTCCCAATCTCCCACCCAGCCCTGCCCTCTGGCACTGGGAGCCATTCCCTGGCTCCTGCCAGGGAACAATTCCCAATTCCCAAAATCCCACCCAGCCCTGCCCTCTGGCACTGGGAGCCATTCCCTGGCTCCTGTCCCTCCATCCTTGTCCCCAGTCCCTCTGGGCTCTCCTGGAGCCCCTCCAGGGACCAGATCCCACTCACCAGCTCCCTCATGCAGGATTTGAGCCTCTCCCGGTCCAGCCTCGTGCAGGACGAGTGGTGCTGGTCCTTGTCAGCCAAGGTCAGGAAGCGCCTGAGGGAAAAGGAGATTCCCATGGGAACCTTTCCCAGGGTTCTCTTCCCACCCCGCCAGCCCGGCCACATCCATGGAAAATGCTCAAATTCCTGCCAAAACCCAACAAAACTCTGGGCAAGAGGCTGGTTCGCACCAGGACTTGGAACCAGGAAGGGACATCAGTGTCATCAGGGCCACCAGGTGCCACACAGAATTCCCAGAATTCACAGAATCACCAGGTTGGAAGAGACCTCCACGACCATCAAGTCCAACCCGGCCCCAACACCTCAACCCAACCCTGGCACCCAGTGCCACATCCAGGCTTTGTTAAACACACCCAGGGATGGGGACTCCACCACCACCCCAGTCCCTGGAAATTCCCAAAATTCCCAGAATTCACAGAATCACCAGGTTGGAAGAGACTTCCAAGACCATCGAGTCCAACCCAGCCCCAAAAACTCAACCCTGGCACCCAGTGCCACATCCAGGCTTTGTTAAACACACCCGGGGATGGGGACTCCACCACCTCCCCAGTCCCTGGGAATTCCCAAATTTCCCAGAATTCACAGAATTACCAGGATAGAAGAGACCTCCAAGACCATCGAGTCAAACCGAGCCCCAACACCTCAACCCAACCCTGGCACCCAGTGCCACACCCAGGCTTTGTTAAACACACCCAGGGATGGGGACTCCACCACCTCCTTTGCTGCCATCCCAGAACTTTATCACCTTCCTGGGAAGAACTTTTCCCTGATATCCAGCCTGAATTCCCCTTGGAATTCCACAGCTTGAGGCTGTGACCTCTGGCTCTGTCAGTTCCTGGAGAAGGAGCCCAACCCCAGCTGAGCACAGCCACCTTCAGGCCACCAGCCTGTGGAGGTCTCAGCACCGAGGTTCCCACCCCTGCTTTGGGGTGTTTGGGGCTCAAGATGGAAGCGCCACGCTCCGAGCTAAAAGATTCGGCACGGTGCCGGTGTCAGGGAACGTTGTCCCATCATCCCGAGGGCGGGCACGGGGCGGTGGCATTCCCGCTGGGAGCAGGGACCTGCGCGGTGCCACCCTTGCCACGCGGCACTCACAGGCAGCCGCTGCTCAGCTCCTCCAGGACCCCTCGCAGCCGCCGCTCCGGGTGCGGCTTCTCCGTCTTGATCATCTCCTGCACGTCGTTGAGGCCCTCCTCCTGCGGCACCGGGGGGGACAGCGTGAGGGGTGGGGCTGGGAGCCGGGTGGGGTCACCTGGGATCACCTGGGAACACCTGGGCTGGCTGGGAATCACCTGGGATCACCTGGGATGTGTTGGGAATCACCTGGGAATCACCTGGGATCATCTGGGATCACCTGGGATCACCTGGGAATCACCTGGGATCATCTGGGCTGGCTGGGAGTCACCTGGGATCACCTGGGAACACCTGGGCTGGCTGGGAATCACCTGGGATTACCTGGGAACACCTGGGCTAGCTGGGAATCACCTGGGATCACCTGGGATCACCTGGGCTGGCTGGGAATCACCTGGGCTGGCTGGGAATCACCTGGGATAACCTGGGATCACCTGGGATGGCTGAGAATCACCTGGGATCACCTGGGATCACCTGGGATCACCTGGGATCATCTGGGCTGGGAATCACCTGGGATAACCTGGGATCACCTGGGATCACCTGGGATGGCTGGGAATCACCTGGGATCACCTGGGAACACCTGGGATCACCTGGGAATCACCTGGGATCATCTGGAGATAATCTGGACTGGGCATCACCTGGGATCACCTGGGATCACCTGGGAATCACCCTGGAGATCATCTGGCCTGGGCTGGGAATCACCTGGGAATCACCTGGAGATCATCTGGTCTGGTCTGGGAATCACCTGGGAATCACCTGGGATCACCTGGGATCACCTGGGATCATCTGGGCTGGGAATCACCTGGGATCACCTGGAGATCATCTGGACTGTACTGGGAATCACCTGGGATCACCTGGGATCACCTGGGCTGGGAATCACCTGGGATCATCTGGGCTGGGAATCACCTGGGAATCACCTGGGCTGGACATAACCCAGGATCACCTGGGCTGGGCACGACTGGGATCACTTGGGATTACCTGGGATGAGTTGGGAATCACCTGGGATCATCTGGGGATCACCTGGGATCACCTGGGCTGTCCCTCCACCCCTCCCTGTCCATCCCTGCCCACCCCAGGCGCTCCCTGACCAGCTTGTCCGCGATCTTGTCCATGATGTTGGCGTTGTAGAGCCGGCGCCGCTGGTCCTGCCACCAGCTCCGGATGTAGATGCAGGGCTTCTTCTCCAGGTAGGGCAGGTGGAAGTAATTCCTGCGAGAGGAGCAGGAGAGACGCTCCGTGAGGGTGACAACCCCAGCCTGGAGCAGCTCCAATCCCACCGCTCTCCTGGGAGGCAACGCCGTGGGGGTGAGGGGGACACGGCAGATCAGGAGAGGGAGGGAGGCGGCCTCAAAACCACCCCAAAATCTCTGTCCATGGAATAACTCTGCTCTGACGTTCCCAAAATCACCCCAAAATCTCTGTCCATGGAATAACTCTGCTCTGACGTTCCCAAAATCACCCCAAAATCCCTGTCCATGGAATAACTCTGCTCTGACGTTCCCAAAATCACCCCAAAATCTCTGTCTATGGAATAACTCTGCTCTGAC